TATGGATTGTGATAACAGTTGTATGAGCCCCTAATAAAATGTTTAAAAATAAATAAATAAAGTGTGGAACAGCAAAGATACCAAAAAAAACCAAAAAACACTCCACTCAACTAGGACTTTCTGAAGCGAGTCAACAATGATTTCCAATAAATTATGAAACTATTGCCCTTTATAGAAAATAATCTCAAGGAATATAAACAATATCTGCCAACCTTGATTTTGTATGTGCTTGAGTATGCTTCTAATCAAAAGGAGATCAATATTTCTTGAAAGTAATATGTGGTAGGAAGGAGCTCTGATGGAACAATGGCTGAGTGTTTGGTTGCTAACTGAAAGATTTGTAATTCAAACCCCCCGAAAAGGCCCGGAGGGATCAGGACTGTATCTGCTTCCATAAAGATTATAGCTAATCTTTAGAGCAGCTCCCCATTGCCACATGGGGTGACTGTGAACCAGAAAAGACTTGGAGATACCATCACCAAGAACCCCTGCTAGTTACTTCGGCTAGTCTTTGATTATGCAATGTGCCTTGCAAGTGCCTAGTTCATTCAGCTTGAAAATGCATCAGAAGATTAGCTAATAATAAATGAGCATTTCCACTACACAGTTATATGTTGTGATAGGAAGAGTGAGCAGGTAGCTCTTGTATTCTTGACATTGTCTAGATTATCTAATAAGAAAGTAACCTTCACCTTCAAAAGAAAAGTGGTTTCAAAATATTGTTGATGCTCAAAATTATATTTCTAGATTTAATTTTTATTTTCTATCCTGAATTGCCATTGAGAATCTTGCCAAGTATAAAGGAGAGACTGAAATAAGAAAAATATTCTGAAACTATCTGTGCATATGTCTGTGTGTAGTTTTATAGTATAGTCACATACTTAAGAGTAAAAGTAGAAAACAGAGGGCCAAATGGAGGGAAAGAATCCAAACGTGCTCTCTTGCCCCTGAAACAGTCATTCAATTTTGTTCTGAAGGAGTTGTTACTGCTTACACGTCCTGCATTTTCTGTTCATTTGAAAAGTATATCCTTTTGAACAAACAGTTTTGCTTATAGGTGGCTGATAGTACAGAAAGCATAATTGCTCCTCTCAGTTTCTTTTAGACATTGTCTGTGTTACACCAAAATTGTAGTATGAAAGTTAAAATAAGTGGTGAAGCATCTGCAGTCGAGATTTTCTTCAGTTCCTTCAGAGAGAGGAACCTTGCTCTACGAGCTGTTTATAGTCTTCAGAGAGGTTTAATTTGACCAGAGTTATGCATATAATCACTGCCTTCTATATCAATTGGATTTACATTAGTTATAGAGCCATTTCAAATGCATAAAGAAGAACTGAACATTTAATTATCTCTACCTGTGTACATTCAAGTTAAGGAATTTGTCCTCAGTCCTAATGTAGGTATTAATGAAGTATTTGTGTAATAGTACTTATTAAAACAAAATTGCATTTTTTACATGTATAAATCTTTAAGCAACTATTACAATTATGTTCTCATTAGTAACTATCTATTTAATACCCATATGACTCTC